TAATGTATAATAATTTAAGTGTGACTGTATTTTACAAAATACAAGTTTACTAAAATACAGCCAAGACAGGTTACTTTGTAAAGATCAAAGGTCAGTTTTATGTTATTGGATACGGTAACATGAGTGCACGTGTGCCGCATCATTATAATTTCTGTATTCAAATTCCAAGCATTATTAACTTCTGTATTGTTAGCCAAGCATGGCTGAAAGGTCAGTATAATAAAAATAATAAATAAATATATATAATAAATAGTTATGAAATTTAAACTATTTAGTCTAAACATTTATGTTTTCATATTATAATTTGTGTTCATTCTAGAATGAAAGAGGCATAATTTATATTTATTTTCTAATTTTTTATGGTGTTTACGAGATTGGTCAAATTGACCGAACCTGTACAGAGATTCATTAGTGCTGAAAGAGTTAAAAAAGTGTGATAGGAAAGTCGCATTTTAGTCAGTCATACGAGTTATAAGGTATGGCTCTCTAATGATTCCGTCCTTTAAAGTCTAGTCCTCCATAGGTTAAAGGTTAGATCACCAAATCAATAAGGATCATTGTTAGGCTCAAGAGGTGACACATAGTGGGGTGCACCTGTTGCCCAAGAGCAAAATTGCACCATTGAATTAAAAAATGTTTAGAAAATGAAAGTGATGTAATTCTTTCTCACATTTTTTAAAATATGTCTGAGTTGAAATGTATTGAATAAAATGTTTTATTAATTTAATTTTATTCATAATTTTTGTTCTTAAAGAGCAAATTTTGATTTTGGGCTGATTTTATTGTACTATGAACAAAAACATTAGTGTTTATTTTATTTTTTTATGTGAGTATAATACAGCTCTCATAGCCTCCTAGAAGGAAAATCAAACTAGTTTTAAAAAAAACTGCAACACTTTGTAACTTCAAACCAATTATAGTTTTATTGATTTAACCAATCACTGTTTCTCAACCTCAGTTGTTGTGATATTATATAAATTACCTACATTCAAGCTTCGAGATTAAACACATAATGAAAGATATTTTTCATTCAACTGTTTTATCCGGTATGTCTTCCATCTCAGTGGAAACCTATGTAGATATCAGAACAGTGGTAAAAGCTTAGCTTGTTAATATGTTACTAGAAGTTATTTGTAAACATTTTCTGTCACAATAATAGTCCTGATTTTTTTAAAACTTGCAAAAAGTTTGTTTTATCATTTTGTACTTCATTTGAATTATGATGTTTCATTATGATACGTAAGGAAGTTTTTTTTGTGCAACAAGATCAAGTTGAGAATTGTTAGGCTTAGTTAGATTGTTTTGCATTTCATAGTGTAGAGTTTCATTTCACCAGTCACTTCGCTGTTTGTTAGACTGTATTTACATTAGGCTTTATGGGAAGTAACTGATTGAATGGGCAAAGAAAATCACCAAAAAGGAATGTAAAAAATATATGTAAATGAATAGAAAACACAATGGAATGTTTTCAAATTTCCAAAGCTGAAAATTCACACAAATATCACATAAAAAATAAGATATTTTATATTACAAAAGCTACACGATCTGTAGAAAGTTCATCTGAAATTTCAGTTAATTTTGACTGGTAGTTCTTTTGAAATGCAATAAAATAAACCAATATGACAGTTGCAATGAATCAGAACATTCAGGTGTTTAAGATTTAAGCGACAAAATACTGTATCTAAATCATTTCATATTTTCAACTTATTACAGGTTTTTCCTGTAGATGCATGTAATTCATAAACAAAACAGCATTTTAGACTTGTTTTTCAGCATTCTTTCAGAAGTGCTAGAAATAAAAATTGGAATGGTTATATCAGTGCATAAATCTAACTAAACATATAAAAAGATCTTAAAATGGCAGCCCAGTTCAGAACAATACAAATTATGCATAATGTGGTGACTTGATATTAGAGAAAACTATAAATCACTTAGAGATTATAAAATCTCTACAACTAATTAAAAAAACATGTTAGTTTCATAACACCGACCAGATTTTCACCGAAATATTCTACTTTTTATAATATTTGGTTACTTTAAAAGTTAACACAATAAAAAATAACCAAGAAAAGGGGATTTGTTTATATAGATGTTTAAGGTCAGTCAGCTAATTTATATTTATCAAAATTTACATTGAAATAGAACTTTGCTATGATAGATACTTATATAAAATACCCTAAAAATTACCTGGCAGGTTATTAGTTAAAACAAAAACAAGCCCTCAGCAGTAAGCCTGAAGGTTTTTAAATGCTAAAAAGCAGGTTTCAATATCCATGGTGGGTACAGCACAGATTGTGTTGCTTTGTGCTTAACATCAATCAAACAAAATTTTAAAAGAAAGTGTTGTTATGGTTTAATTTTTCTAGTTCATTAAAAAGTATTTTAAATTTGCTTTCCAAAGTACTGTTTAAGTGGCATCATATAATAGTTCAAGTTAACTGAATCATCTCTAGTGAGAATCAAAACCCAGTAATTCCCAAATCACGATATCAGGCATCTGATACATCAGCACTTTGTGAAACATATTGGCCAGAAGTAGGTGGCTCAGCTTTATTTTCATTGCTAACCAAGCTATACATGCAGTATTGTTGCTACTATCTCATCAAGTTTTGGCAAGGAAGAAAGTGATGATAAAAATTGCAAATAGAAATATCTGAGGTAAATACTGAATGCTTTCTTAAGTTTTTATTCACTGTTGATGTATGGAATTTGAGTAATTTTTGCATATTGCAAGTGGATAAGAGGCCATTTGTATTGTATTCATGCTGAGAGGCTCGACTACTAGGAAGATGTGAACTTCAATGACCTTTGTATAGATATATCATCCAGCTTCTAGATCAACCTTTCAAGCCTGCATCCATTGCTGAGTAATACCTTGTCTACCTTCTTAATCTACAGCAAAGAATATCAGTTCAAAGTTATGCTTTATTCTATGGTCAGTGTGTTGTTAATATTCTCACAGTGTGAGAAACATTGCTCAGTTCACTATTGTATAAACTTCAGACAAAAACTGATCTATATTACACTACCAGAAGTTGTTCATATTAACTTGTTATTATTGTCAGTAGGTATTACTGTTGATTTACTACTGTTGTTGTTCTGATGTACATTTGAAACAGGATCTGATCTAGGCTAGACAACAGATGGAAAATGTTGTGTTGTTGTTTGCCATGACAACATCATGGTAGGAGTTTTGAACAAAATATATTTAGCCCCATCTCAAAACTCTCATGTTTCTTGCTTCCTGCATTTACTATATAAATTAGATTGTTTAAAAACCAGGCAAACCATGCAAGTCTACACAAAGTGGGCTGATACATTTCTCAAGAGGCAGCCACATGATTGGCAACCAACATGGTCATGTCATCTGGGCCTGTTAAGCAGTATTTAAGGTTGGATGTGTGAAGCGAGTGTGCTGGATCACACCTGAAAATACAGTAATGCTGAGTGTTTGCACTTCTCTTGTATTACTGTATTAGATGCATGTGAACAAAGAGGACAATTTTAGATATGTAGGAAAACAACAACACTTGCTTACGTTTTACAAATGGTAAATAGCTGATTAGGGAGAGCATTTATTCATATACAGAGCTGTCAAGCACAGATTGTAGAATATATATATACACAAGAAAGAGTATTTTTAAATAAAAGCACATCAAGACTAAAATGATAAAAAGAACCCTAATTTAACATTAATACCCGAGACCCAGCCACAAATGTGTAATTCCTTAAATTTTTGTTATTTTGAAATTATTAAAAGGAATTCTCCTTCCTAAAGGATTAGAAAAGGCTAAAGATTATCAAGTATCAGGACTTTCATAAATTAACAAACTAAGACATTTTGTCAAAAATGTTGTATATGGTATGCGGTAATAATTTACACAGTATTCCTTCATTAGGGATAATTAATAAGGTTACTGCTCAGTTCTGTAAAAGATTCAGTTATACAGTTAAACAATTGGCATTACTTATGTATTAAGTCATCAAGAAATTAATGTCGCGTTTTGGAACACTTTCATTAACCACCACCCCAAAAACGTACGTCACATATAATAGTTAAACGAACTACCTAAACATCATGTTAGTGTAATCTATATAATGTGTAAAGTTTAGTATACTCTGATCCCTTATAGTGATGGCACATGACAGACACGTATTCGGCATGTAATGCTGTTTGAATACAAGAAGGGAAACAACACCTCTGTAGCCACCAAGATTATCAAAGAAGCTTATGGAAAATATTTGA